TAATACCAGGGTGATATAAGATATAGGTTAACATATCCCTGACATTAATACCAGGGTGGTACAAGATATAGGTTAACATATCCCTGACATTAATACCAGGGTGGTACAAGATATAGGTTAACATATCCCTAACATTAATACCAGGGTGGTACCAAATAAGGGGTTAACATATCCCTGACATTAATACCAGGATGATACAAGATATAGGTTAACATGTCCCTGACATTAATACCAGGATGATACAAGATATAGGTTAACATGTCCCTAACATTTATACCAGGGTGGTACAAGATATAGGTTAACATATCCCTAACATTAATACCAGGGTGATATAAGATATAGGTTAACATATCCCTGACATTAATACCAGGGTGGTACAAGATCTAGGTTAACATATCCCTGACATTAATACCAGGGTGGTACAAGATATAGGTTAACATATCCCTAACATTAATACCAGGGTGGTACCAAATAAGGGGTTAACATATCCCTGACATTAATACCAGGATGATACAAGATATAGGTTAACATGTCCCTGACATTAATACCAGGATGATACAAGATATAGGCTAACATGTCCCTAACATTAATACCAGGGTGGTACAAGATATAGGTTAACATATCCCTAACATTAATACCAGGGTGATATAAGATATAGGTTAACATATCCCTGACATTAATACCAGGGTGGTACAAGATATAGGTTAACATATCCCTAACATTAATACCAGGGTGATACAAGATATAGGTTAACATATCCCTGACATTAATACCAGGGTGGTACAAGATATAGGTTAACATATCCCTGACATTAATACCAGGGTGGTATTAGATAAGGGGTTAACTCATCCCTGACATTAATACCAGGGTGGTACTAGATAAGGGGTTAACTCATCCCTGACATTATCGGGGCAGTCGGGTAGCCTAGTGGTTACACTGAAGCCCCAGGTTCGATTCCGCACGTACAATGTGTGAAGCCCATTTCTGATGATCCCCGCCGTGATATTGCTGTGATATTGCTAACCATACTCACTCACTCTCTCTAACTCGCACGCTCACTCACTCACTCTGACCAGGCATGGCCAAAGGGGTACAAGATAAGGGGTTAACGCATCTCTATTGCTGCCACATATCAACGTGACATTTTGCCTTTTATAAACGCCAACATTCTACATAAGTTCCCCCCTCAGATACATACAAGCACTGTCACAGGTTGATGAATTTGTGCGGGAAAATGCGTTGTCAACATTGTATACACCTGTGCAAGGAGACTTCACCTGAGATAAAGAAATCAGGAACAACACAATAATTGCGTCATGTTATTTCTTGAGCCTATCTTTAAAGGCGCACTATCATGCCATACTGCTCTAGATATCAATATTGCATTTCTCTCATTAATACTAATTATCAGCCGTCAGCGAAGCTACCATATAATTTATCCCGAAAAAAAATATGTATTAAGATTACAATCTAAAATTACAATGTTTGAATGAATGAAATCAACTTTGCATTAAATCAACTCTCGCGCCCTCTACTGACCAAAGTTTTTTTCAAGTGAACCCCATAGAGTTATGTCCCTTGGAACACTCTTTACAAATATCCTATAACGCAACTTGCGATTGAGGCCAGTTCGACAAACACTGACAACACCGCATGCGACAGTTTTCAATGTACGGAGCAATCGTTTACATTCCATATATGGCAAGTCTTATCTGTTTGGAAGGTGTTCGACTCGAAGTTTCAATTATCTATTTCAGGAACGTTGTAAGGGATAACAAGTCTTTTATTGCATCAATAGGAAGCTGAAGTGTGTGCATATGGCCCAGTATATATAATATAAGCCAAACTATTGTCTAAAAGCGTGACATTGTGCCTATAAAAATGACAATGTAATCTGAGATGTGGCTTGGTTCGTCTGTGTCTTGTTCGTTTGTAACTACTTGTGTCATTCCGGCAAGCTAGATGGCAACTCATACCCCTCTCGTGGCCATGTTCACGGCTGGGCCTTGTTCATTTGTAACTACTTGTGTCATTCCGGCAAGCCAGATGGCTGACTCGTACCCCTCTCGTGGCCATGTTCACGGCTGGGCCTTGTTCATTTGTAACTACTTGTGTCATTCCCGCAAGCCGGAACACGACTTAAACCCCTCTCGTGGCCATGTTCACCACTGGGCCTTGTTCATTTGTAACTACTGTGCCATTCCAGCAAGCCAGATGGCGACTCGTACCCCTCTCGTGGCCATGTTCACGGCTGGGCCTTGTTCATTTGTAACTACTTGTGTCATTCCGGCAAGCCGGATGGCGACTCGTACCCCTCTCGTGGCCATGTTCACGGCTGGGCCTTGTTCATTTGTAACTACTTGTGTCATTCCCGCAATCCCGAACGCGACTTAAACCCCTCTCGTGGCCATGTTCACCACTGGGCCTTGTTCATTTGTAACTACTTGTGTCATTCCAGCAAGCTAGATGGCGACTCGTACCCCTCGTGGCCATGTTCACGGCTGGGCCTTGTTCATTTGTAACTACTTGTGTCATTCCAGCAAGCCGGATGGCGACTCGTACCCCCTCGTGGCCATGTTCACGGCTGGGCCTTGTTCATTTGTAACTACTTGTGTCATTCCGGCAAGCCGGATGGCTTAATTGCACCTCTCGCGTGGCCATGTTCACCACTGGGCCTTGTTCATTTGTAACTACTTGTGTCATTCCCCGCAGCCGGATGGCGACTGCACTCCCCTCGCGGGCCATGTTCACGGCTGGGCCTTGTTCATTTGTAACTATTTTTGTGTCATTCCGCAAGCCGGATGGCGACTCGTACCCCTCTCGTGGCCATGTTCACCACTGGGCCTTGTTCATTTGTAACTACTTGTGTCATTCCAGCAAGCCGGATGGCGACTCGTAGCACCCTCGTGGCCATGTTCACCACTGGGCCTTGTTCATTTGTAACTACTTGTGTCATTCAGGCAAGCCAGATGGCGACTTATACCCCTTTCGTGGCCATGTTCACCACTGGGCCTTGTTCATATGTAACTACTTGTGTCATTTCGGCAAGCCGGATGTAGGCGACTCGTACCCCTCTCGTGGCCATGTTCAAGGCTGGGGCTTGTTCATTTGTAACTACTTTTGTGTCATTTTGGCAAGCAGGATGGTGACTCGTACCCCTCTCGTGGCCATGTTCACCACTGGGCCTTGTTCATTTGTAACTACTTGTGTCATATCGGCAAGCTAGATGGTGACTTGTACCCCTCTCGTGGCCATGTTCACGGCTGGGCCTTGTTCATTTGTAACTACTGTGTCATTTCGGCAAGCCGGATGGCGACTCGTACCCCTCTTGTGGCCATGTTCACCACTGGGCCTTGTTCATTTGTAAGTACTTTTGTCATTCCGGCAAGCCGGATGGCGACTCGTACCCCTCTCGTGGCCATGTTCACCACTGGGCCTTGTTCATTTGTAACTACTTGTGTCATTTCGGCAAGCCGGATGGCGACTCACACCCCTTCTCGTGGCCATGTCCATGACTGGGCCTTGTTTAAGCCCAAACGGGCCCTGGCACGGAGATGAAAATAGTCTAGTACTATTTCCAAGGAAAGTTAACATCTGAATTTCCAATCATGGCTACTCCAAGAAATGCGTCAACAATATCCTACACCGATTAATTTAAAATGCAACACAAAAGTCACTTTAAGTAAGTTTCTTATGTCTTTAACAAATAAAGGTAACAATATAATTTTACAATCAAGGAAATAATCGCAAAGAAACTATTTGACCTCATTTCTCATTTTACTACACAGTATTTGATTGATTTGCCATGATTCTTGTCAATAATAGCGTCCTATACAGGTACAAGTCTTGTTGTAGGTAGGAAGGAGGCTAGTAGTTACGAATGTGCCATGTTTGTTTGGCTGCTGTTTAATGCAGCACTCAGCAATGTTTCAGCTGTATCAAGGAGGGCTGTGGTTGAATCTGGACCAGACAATCCAGTGACTGATGCAACTGGAATGTGATTACCTGCATCAACCAACCCATGTTGCATGACATTAGACCATGTTCAACTGTACCATGGCTTGTTTCAAATAAGGGGCTGTGGGGTAGCCTAATGGTTAAAGCGTTGGCTCGTCACGCCGAAGACCCAGGTTCGATTCCCCACATGGGCACAATGTGTGAAGCCCATTTCTGGTGTCCCCCGCCGTGATGTTGCTGGAATATTGCTAAAAGCGGCGTAAAACCAAACTCAGTCAGTCAGTCAGTGTTTCAAATAACCTGGGAAGGTACCACAGGTTTAGGTGCCACAGCCAAATTATGTTTCTAGGTTGGTCAGCACAATAACTGTGTTGTCACTCCAGGCTTCAGAGTAACAGGCTGTGATTTGACTGGAATAGAATATTGTTAAAAATGGCATTAAACCCAACACTGTCCCTCACTTACTTCCTGCCAGACTCGTTCATTTATTACACGCTCAGCAACTCACTCACAGACTTACTCGGGATCGGGTGGTCAGGCTCACTGACTTGGTTGACACATGTCATCGGTTCCCAATTGCGCAGATCGATGCTCATGCTGTTTATCACTGGATTGTCTGGTCCAGATTCGATTATTTACAGACCGCCACCATATAGCTGGAATATTGCTGAGTGCGACGTAAAACTAAACTCAAACACTCACTCACAGACTCACTCCTATGCCACAGACTCACATGCATCAATCATCACCCTGTGATGAAACAAGAGATTGGTGCGACCAGTTTCTCCTAAAATAGCTTTAGAGGCATATTTACCAACACCTAAGAAATGTTTAAAATATCAGTGCTCTCTATGCCACAGACTCGAATGCATCAATCATCACCTTCGATCAGAGCACCTGCTGTGAGGTGGGTGAAACCATGGTAAAGATATGCAAGATTTCCCGTAGTTATATGAATCCTGCCATGATTTATCGCCTATTGCTACAATGTAGTTGTAGTTTTTCTGTTGTTACCCCCTAATGAGTGTCCTGTTGTGTTGCAGGTGAAGTCCCTTGGGATCACGCTATGGGAGGCGGTGTGCCAGCACTTGCAGCTTCTGGAAGCCGACTACTTCGACTTGGAGTACACCGACATTGGTGGACTCAAGGTCAGTGTCAGGGGAGACAACTGGCTGAACAGTCAATATTGATAACTTCTGTAATTTGTATCTAAATTGATGCAATGTTTTCGTCAGTGACAGGGGAGACAACTGGCTCAACAGTCAATATTGATAACTTCTGTAATTGCATCTAAATTGATGCATTTTTTTGTGGAGAGTTGCATCCCTTGGTCATGAATGAGATCCTATGATGGTTTGAATCCCACTTATCTTGTTTGTTGGTTTGTCAGCACCATACCTCGTAAAGGGACTTACACATGAATGGTGAAAGCCTAACACCTTCATGACTTCCTTCCAACATCACTTTGTCGTGATGTAACTGATATACTGTACAAAGTGATGTTAAACAAGATTCACCTGTTTCACCAGTGAAAGGAGAACTGACTTCAACAGTTTGTATGTAATGGCAATAACAACTAGACCTCAGTGTAACATGTTATGTCTCGTATAACACTTTCTCAGTAGACCCTTGAAGATCCGGGGTAGAATAGGTCTTCAGCAACCCACGCTTGCCACAAAAGGCGACTATGCTTGTCGTAAGAGGCGACTAACGGGATCGGGTGGTCAGGCTCGCTGACACATGTCATCGGTTCCCAATTGCGCAGGTCGACGCTCATGCTGTTGATCACTGGATTGTCTGGTCCAGACTCGATTATTTACAGTCCGCCGCCATATAGCTGGAATATTGCTGAGAGCGGCGTAAAACTAAACTCACTCACTCACTCACTTTCTCAGTAAAGTAAAGATTCTAGTACCCTTTGGCATTTGAATTCATACTCTTTGTTTTGTTTGTTGTTTTTTACACCGCACTGAGCAATATTCCAGCTATATGGTGAAGATCTGTTAATAATCGAGGCTGGACTAGACTATCCAGTGAGCAACAGCATGAGCATCGATCTATGCAATTGGGTTAGGATGACATGCAGCAACATATCAGCAAGCCTGACGAACCGATCTCATTAGTTGCCTCGCACAATAAGCATGTGTTGCTGAAGACCCAATTCAAACCTGGATCTTCCACACCATCAGTGTGAGGGTTCCAGAAGATGTGAAACAAGTCAAAATCTAGATCACAGACTTATTTATTCCATGCATCCATGTGTAGTTGCTGAGCAAGGAATAGCAACACAATCATGTTTTATCACCTTGGTTACTGTTTACAGATATCACATGGAAATAGGCGCTGGTTAGATTGAGTGAGACATGAATTGTTTATCAGTTTATTGCATGAAGGCCAGAGGCCCATATACAGAATAAATATGTATGATATGTACAACATATACAACAGGCGACACACACGTTACATTGAATCTCTTCTCAATATAAGCGCGTGATAAATAAATAGAGCTACCTTATATTGTAATAGGGATGCTTTACATGAAAGTATTGAGTACAGTTTTGAAGCATTAATATTTGATTGTAGCCATTGTGGAAAATACAGTTGCCTTAAATCATTATATGCAGGACAAAGAAATAGAAAGTGTAATTCATTCTCTACAGTATTACAAAATGGACAGAACCTTTGTGATTTTATAATAGATGAATATCTTCCTTGATTGATATATAAATCATTTAGGCCAAGTCTCAGGCGTATGAAAACACTACGAAGCTTTTTACAACGTAAGTTGTATAGATTCGACTCAGGTTCAAGTAAAGATTTGAACTCACGATAGCAATCATATCTTGAACTTTCATATAAAGATGAACGCCAGTCTTGTTTAAAGATATCAATAGCCCTGGTACGAAAGAGTTTGATAAATGCATTAACGTCGCCCAGGGTTTGGGATAGCCAAACAAACAAAGCCGTGATCTAAACAAAAGAATACTGAATACGGGTTGCCCAAGTATTTTACCAATATTATCAAGATGGACAATCATATTGTAGGTTTTTGGGCAGACGATGTTCTGGCATATTTATTACTTTACACCAGTACTTTAAACAGAGAGAGTAAGAAATTATGTACAAAGGAAATCTCCCACATTCACCGTACACCATATTATTAGGGGTAGACATCCCAACATTTAAAAACCTTTTACATGCAAGAAGGTGAACCTTTTCAGTGGCATAAAATTCCTTATTGCCCCAAATTTCTGACCCATAAAGAAGAATAGGCTGTACTTGGGAATCAAACAATTTGAAAAATATATTTGGACCAACAACCCCCAACTTTGGTATAACAGAGAGCAATTGAAGTAGGGCCCTTTTCCCTCTAATTGCCAAATTAATAATGGATTTGTTCAGATTTAGTGTATGTGTAAACAGTATCCCTAGATATTTATATTCGTTAACAACAGTCATACGTTCACATTTAAAGTACCACTTTTCTGTAGCTGCCGTTGGGCCACCCTTACTGAAAAACAACAATTTTGGTCTTTTCAAGATTAACATCAAGTAAGCCAGTTATCTGAATAAGATGAAAGTGTATCAATTTGTCTCTGAAGGCCAATAACAGTACTTGACATAAGGATCACATCGTCGGCAAAAAGTAAAATAAAAAGTTCAACAAGATCAGGAAATAATTGGATGCCATGTCTGCCAGATTGTATAACGTCAAAATATAGTTCGTTGATAAAGAATGAGAAAAGTATTGGGCTTAGAACACAGCCTTGTCGTACACCAGTAGGACAATCAAAATAGTCACTGAAAGCATCATCACATCGAACACAAGACTTTACATTTGAATACATTGACCTGATAATATCAAACATTTTCCCTTTAAGACCCCTATTTCTAAGACATTTCCACATTTTATCTCTGTCAACAGAATCAAAAGCCTTTCTAAAATCAACAAAGGCTACATACAATTTTCTTTTACTAAAAGCTAAACATCGCTCAATTACTGAGTATACAGTAAAAATATGATCAAAGGTTGAGTATTCCTTTCTAAATCAAGCTTGTGAATCTGGGATCAAGTCCCTCATATTTGACCACTGTGTTAGCCTATTATTGATAATCGATACAAATGTTTTACCAACAACACTTGTCAGAGAATTAGAATGTGCATCTACAAGTACTCCTTCATTCTTGTGTCAGAAGTGATTGTTCCTTAAAAATCTGTTTCAGTGTTGGGTCGACCGCCAGAAGCCTTTGTTGAAACAGCTGCCTACCCCAGACACACCCCTTAGTTTCTGTATAAAGTTTTACACCCCAGACCCTGGTCTACTGGAGGACGACTTCACTAGGTGAGTGAGTGACTGAGTGAGTGAAACAGATGCCTATCTCATTCACAGCTACAGAAGGGAGAATTAATTTTGTGACAAGTGATCGAAGGAATTTGCAGATAAGCAAGTCCTGTTTCTTGCAGTATTCTACAACCATTCCCCTGTATATATGTTCAATTGCAATCAAGTTTTTTACCTGTTCAGGTGTGTGTATATTTTGTTTCAGGTATCTGTTCGCTCTCCAGATCAAGCAGGATCTGTTGTCGGGGGTGATGCCATGCAGTGACAATACAGCAGCTCTTCTTGCTTCATATATTGCTCAAGGTGAGGGTCAAATCATCTAGCGCGTATAAAACAAGCTTCTGATGCCCATAATAGTTGGACTTATCTTTAGTCACAGTTCTTATAGGTTGTCACTAGCGATCAAGGTGCCGTTGTACAAAACAATCTCAGTCTATGTTGAGGTATAGGACTGACGACCACCTTACCGCTTGAGTTGTTTTGTTTTCACTTCTTTAGAAGTTGGAGAATCAGATAAGGACAAAACTTTATGGATGAACAACTTCTTTATTCGGATGGTGTGACGTTTTCGATGCAGATTTAATTCTTGTATCGTTGTCAAGCCAATTTGTTTTGTTTTGTTGAAATAACCTGAAGTTTGAGTTTTTACTCAAATTTGAGAAAACTCTTCAAAATGTATTTCCCGAATTATGAAATTAAGTTTGTATCGAGAAATCAGAGCCAGGTTCTACTGACAATGACATACGGCATTTGACTCTCTTCCTGACTGCCGTCACAGCTGTTCTTGTCCGTGTATACACACTCTGAACCTCATTGTCTCGCCCACTTGGTCTTCTTACATAGAGTGTTGGTCTGAAAGACAGACCAGCTGTTGAATGCCCAGCTGCATCATGGGGAAAAATGGGAAAAGACGGTGCTTGTTGAGATCATTTCTTGTGTTCTGGGTTCAAAGAGACTGGTCGGTTCCGAGTCAGTCTTCTGTGTGGGAGGAGGGGTTAAACCAAGGCATGGTGTCTCAGTTGGCTAATGCTATAGAACTGGCACTCTTCTGGTTAAATACACCTTTACGCACACAAACGTCTGACAATAAATGAAAAGACACTGTGTTTTTGTTCTTCGAAATATTGATTAAAAGTTTAAGGTAGTAGCACAGCGGGTGCTTTGATCAATTTTCATTCAACAATTTTATGACAATTTTTTTTGTTTTTGAGTATGGGATTAATTCAAACAGTTTGACTTTTCAATGACCATTCTGTTTTCCTTCATTTGACAGCTGAAATCGGTGACTTTCTTGTCGACGATTATTTGGACCATACTTACCTGTCTTCCATGAAGTTTGTTCCCAACCAAACTCCAGACCTCGAGGAAAAGATCATGGAGTACCATAAACAACATATGTGAGTTATCTCCCCTTTCCGAATTGTCTCTTAAAAATACAATATCTCCCTCCCTAGTTATCTCCCTTATCTAGATAGCCTCTTCTGATGGTTGTTTTTGGTTTTTCTAAGAGTTGTCTCCCTTTCATGGGAGTAGTTCCCCCTTCATCATCTGGTGTCTTCCTTCCCAGAAAACATTTGGGAATATAACATTGAATATATATTTTGGCATGCATTTTTGGGAAAAAGTTCAGTGAATATTTTTGTTGGATGTTTCCAGAGGAGAGAGTCCTGCAGAGGCCGACCTGAATCTGTTGGACACAGCACGTAAAGTGGAGCTGTATGGCATTAAAATGTTCCCTGCCAAAGTATGTACTTAAAATGTCCCTTGAGTTGTGGCAGCTAATGACATAATACTGTAGACGGTCAACATGTTTGTTACAGTGGTATCAACTTTTCTCTGTATATGGATGGGCAGTGGGAAAGCTTAGTGGTTAAAGCGTTCGCTCGTCACGCCAAAGACCCAGGTTCAATTCCCCACATGGGTACAATGTGTAAAGCCTATTTCTGGTGTCCCCCGCCGTGATATTGCTGGAATATTGCTAAAAGCGGCGTAAAACCAAACTCACTCACTCACTCACTCTGTATATGGAAGGTGATAGTTAAGCGCTTAATTTCACTTAAATATCTTATAACCTTTGAAGATCCAGGTTAGATATGATCTTCAGCAACCCATGCTTGTCATAAGAGGCGACTAACAGGATCGGGGTGGTCAGGCTTGCTGACTTGGTTGACACTGTCATCGGTTCCCAATTGCATAGATCAATGATAATGCTGATGATCACTGGATTGTTTGGTCCAGACTCGATTTTTTACAGACGTCCGCCTATAGCGGTGATAAGCAACAACAATATTTAAAAAAAATAAAGATCTTATAATATACCAACCAACAGAATTATGTCTTTTGATGTTCAATCAAGTTGGACAGTACAATACAAGTGAAATATTTACGTTTAATTTATACAATTAGGACACAGATGTGATTTTTAAAAATCTTTAATAAATGTTTGTGAAGTACAATTTACCATTTATAGGCTGGTCATTTATTGTAGAGAAGGAGGCCCAGGGTCAGTGAATCACTTAAAACTTTGAACATTATTAAGGCACCAGTCATATATATATTTGGAGGAGGGTGTCATGAAAAAAATGTTACATGAAAAAGGGTGTGTCAGCAAAATATCTTACAAAAAGACCCTCCTTGATCCAGTTTTTTCATGAATATTTTACTTCCTGTTTCAGGATCACGAGGCTGTTACTCTCACCCTGGCTGTAGCACATTTGGGCGTCCTGGTGTTCCAGAGTGCAACAAAGATCAACACATTCTCATGGGCAAAAATCCGCAAATTAAGCTTTAAAAGGAAAAAGTTCTTGATAAAACTACACCCTGAGAGCTATGTGAGTAAGGTACAGATATCGTTTTCCAGAGGTACAGGGATAACTTCACTGCATCGTTACACTGCATTGTGGGAAAACTACCACTTCCTGTCAAATCGTGAATTATCTTTAATATCCAAGCAGGCCACTTCAAAATCTCCTTTGAAACTTTAGATGTTTTCAAAAGTGTTACTATTAATCAGTTATTCTGAACATTTAACTACATTTCCAAATTTGTCCTTGGTTCAAAACAATGTTATCTAAATTTACATTGCACAGTGGCTTCCATTGTGTACAGTTGCACAAGTCTTTTGTAATGTTCAACAATGTTGTAGGCGGCCTACAATGCAGTATAGGGGTATAGGAGGTCCTGTGTATAAAGGTGAATACAATGTATCAGACTGCTGAACAATGTTGTAAGTGCAATATAGGTGGTCCTGTGTATAAAGGTGAATACAATGTATCAGACTGCTGAACAATGTTGTAGGTGTAGTATAGGTGGTCCTGTGTATAAAGGTGAATACAATGTATCAGACTGCTGAACAATGTTGTAAGTGCAATATAGGTGGTCCTGTGTATAAAGGTGAATACAATGTATCAGACTGCTGAACAATGTTGTAGGTGTAGTATAGGTGGTCCTGTGTATAAAGGTGAATACAATGTATCAGACTGCTGAACAATGTTGTAGGTGCAATATAGGTGGTCCTGTGTATAAAGGTGAATACAATGTATCAGACTGCTGAACAATGTTGTAAGGTGCAATATAGGTGGTCCTGTGTATAAAGGTGAATACAATGTATCAGACTGCTGAACAATGTTGTAGGTGTAGTATAGGTGGTCCTGTGTATAAAGGTGAATACAATGTATCAGACTGCTGAACAATGTTGTAGGTGTAGTATAGGAGGTCCTTGTATAAAGGTGAATACAATGTATCAGACTGCTGAACAATGTTGTAGGTGCAATATAGGTGGTCCTGTGTATAAAGGTGAATACAATGTATCAGACTGCTGAACAATGTTGTAGGTGCAATATAGGTGGTCCTGTGTATAAAGGTGAATACAATGTATCAGACTGCTGAACAATGTTGTAGGTGCAATATAGGTGGTCCTGTGTATAAAGGTGAATACAATGTATCAGACTGCTGAACAATGTTGTAAGTGCAATATAGGTGGTCCTGTGTATAAAGGTGAATACAATGTATCAGACTGCTGAACAATGTTGTAGGTGCAATATAGGAGGTCCTGTGTATAAAGGTGAATACAATGTATCAGACTGCTGAACAATGTTGTAGGTGCAATATTGGAGGTCCTGTGTATAAAGGTGAATACAATGTATCAGACTGCTGAACTATGTTGTAGGTGCAATATTGGAGGTCCTGTGTATAAAGGTGAATACAATGTATCAGACTGCTGAACAATGTTGTAGGTGCAATATAGGTGGCCCTGTGTATAAAATTGAATACAATGTATCAGACTGCTGAACAATGTTGTAGGTGCAATATAGGTGGTCCTGTGTATAAAGGTGAATACAATGTATCAGACTGCTGAACAATGTTGTAAGGTGCAATATAGGTGGTTCTGTGTATAAAGGTGAATACAGTGTATCAGACTGCTGAACAATGTTGTAGGTGCAATATTGGAGGTCCTGTGTATAAAGGTGAATACAATGTATCAGACTGCTGAACAATGTTGTAGGTGCAATATAGGTGGTCCTGTGTATAAAGGTGAATACAATGTATCAGACTGCTGAACAGTGTTGTAGATGCAATATAGGTGGTCGTGTGTATAAAGGTGAATACAACGTATCAGACTGCTGAACTATGTTGTAAGTGCAATATAGGTGGTCCTGTGTATAAAGGTGAATACAATGTATCAGACTGCTGAACAATGTTGTAGGTGCAATATAGGTGGTCCTGTGTATAAAGGTGAATACAATGTATCAGACTGCTGAACAATGTTGTAAGTGCAATATAGGAGGTCCTGTGTATAAAGGTGAATACAATGTATCAGACTGCTGAACAATGTTGTAAGTGCAATATAGGTGGTCGTGTGTATAAAGGTGAATACAATGTATCAGACTGCTGAACTATGTTGTAAGTGCAATATAGGTGGTCCTGTGTATAAAGGTGAATACAATGTATCAGACTGCTGAACAATGTTGTAGGTGTAATATAGCGTGGTCCTGTGTATAAAGGTGAATACAATGTATCAGACTGCTGAACAATGTTGTAGGTGTTGTTCAGCACACTATTGGGTTTTAAGAGATTCTGTTTATACTGTGTGTAGTTGAATATTGAATGCTGGAAAGGATAGGCATATGTATAAGACAACAGACACATATTTTATGAGTAAGTAAATTGTAGTAGGCAGTCTTTTCACAAACTCACAGGAGCCTCAGGCTCTACTGAGATTTCAGGTGACTTTGTTGTCTTTTAATCATCTTATCCCAGTTTCAATGTGTGTTGGATAAGTCTGACACACACACGTGTCACCATGTAAGCGCAAAAAAGTTCAATGCAATGTCAAACTGCCACGTGGTCTTCACCATCATCTGTCACAATCACATGACATTGATTCTGGCTGTTTCTGGTGAACACGCCTATCAGACTTCTGTCCACACAGCAGACATTACAGCTTAATGTTTAAGCCCAGTTACTGAAAGTAATCAACCAATCTGTCATTCTGACAGGACATTTTGACATTGATAATCCTAAAACAAACTATTTATCATTTCAAAAATACCCAATCCAGTTTGTTATTTAACATATTTCAAATGATCCTCTATGCATGAAGGGCGGTAGGGTAGCCTAGTGATTAAAGTATTTGCTTGTCACACCGAAGACCCAGGCTCAATTCCCCACATGGGTACAATATGTGAAGCCCATTTCTGGTGTCCCGAGCCGTGATATTGCTGGAATATGGCTAAAAGCGGCATAAAACCAAACTCACTCATTCACTCCATGCATGTACAAGAGATAACATAATTTGATATTAGCAGCTTGATACTAATCTGCATGAAATCTGATGTATGATTATGTGTGTGATATATACTGCTTTTTTGTAAAGTGAGCTACAGGGCCTTGCCAACAGCATTGTTTGCAAACTACATTGCATTAGCTCTTGTTAAAGGCATGGCATGACAAGTGTATATTTCATATCCAAAGGATTCCAAAAAGCAAACATCCCAATGTTTATTTTACACAGAGAATCATAGATTTTTTAATGTTTATTTTGGTAGTTCAGCTACTATTTTGATTAACTTTCTGTACTCACGTTTTTTTGTGTACTTTTTTCTTGACCCTTTTCATATCCAGGTGAATGGAGCGTGGGTATGTTGATTAAAGTGTACAACTCTGTACAACTTTGTTGCTTTGGCATTACTTCAAAAGTGGTATAACTGACATATCATACGGCTAAATAACTTGAGTTATTTTCTAACGAAGTAATGATATTCACTGACTGTGCAATAACGAATAACAGTGTACAGCTATATATGCATTGTTTTCAACGGTTTTATAAGTGTGAAATAAGCTTTGGCAATTTTCTGCTTTATTTTTACTCTACTAAAAGAAAGTGAAATTGATTTTGTAAGGCAGATTCTTGAAGGTTTATTGGTATAAATAATCTTCAACAGTAGGGATTTTGTAGCATTTCTTGGATATACTGTAGAACTTATCCCTGTATCTGTTTGGTTTTTTTTGTCATTCCTTAGCTGTGTCAAAAGGCAATATGACATTTTCCAACAAACATTTTGCATCGCATTTTATGGAATATTTTTCCTCTTGGTTGATTCTAAGATATTTCATTGTGATATTTCAAAATCATTCATTGTAGAGAATGTTATTAGTTTGGTTTATTTGGAATAACTGAGATATTTATTTCTTTAAATATATTTATGACAACTAGTTGTGAGGAAAATAGTTCAAATGTCAAGATCCTAAATGAAACATAGATATAATGAACACATATCCCGGGAAGGGGAAATCTGAATTGATTTGGCAATTGTTACCAATTAGTCGAATAGGTTTAAGGGTACAATATGTTGAATGGGAAAATGACAATCTGCCTTTTGACCCAGCCCCTCTTCCAATAATAAAACTCCCTGTCACCACATATGTTCTGCTACGTCAATCAAACAGTCGTTATTTTGGACATTAAAGAGATAGAGAGTCTTTGTTATTGATCATTATTGATTTTGAAGTGGATCGATGTTAATTTGTGGAAAATATGTTGCACAGCATTTGCTGTAATTTACTCTGTCACATAAGATGTTCCGTTTAAATTTGATAATGGGAATGATATGTTTTACTTGAACAGGTTGAACATGTTTGAATTTTCAAAAATAAGTTTGATTGATGTAAGTGTGGCTAACTTGTCTGAAAAATAATGTTGAAGTTGGGGGTTAACGACATCACTAATCTCATGTTAACAAATACATAACCTGATTTTAATTTTCGGAATCGTCAATGTCAGTATGTGACTAGTTGGTCACATGGTGGCATTGATTCGCCATCATTTAACCCGACTATTTGAGTGATGCTCATGACATTGACCACTGTTTTCCTGGCCTCAATAACTAACGAGCTGTGTTGTAGCTGGAATACTGTTGACAGCAGCATAAACCGACATTTATACCCACGAAGATCCGGGTTAGAATTGATCTTCAGTACCCATGCTTGTTGTAGGAGGCGACTAACGGGTGGTCAGGCTCGCTGACTTGGTTGACACATGTCATCGCATCCCAGTTGTGTAGATTGATGCTCATGCTGTTGATCACTGAATTGTCTGGTCCTGACTTGGTTATATACAGACCGCCGCCATATAGCTGGAATATTGCTGAGAGCGGTGTAAAACTAAACTCACTCACTCACTCACTCACGCACCTTTTGATGGGGTTATCAACTTTGATGTGTGGATAAACTAATTTTGAGCAAAGCATGCTGCTGTATCTCATGTTAAACTATCAAATAATAATCACAGTAAAATGAACTTGTGAGTGTGAATATAATCATCTTTTCAGTAGAAGTTTGTGACTATAGTGTACCCAGAATTATAGAACTCAGAAATGATATGATTGTTAAAATGGTGTCTTGTTAACCAAGTGGTCAGTGATCTCACCTTTCATACAGTAGACCTGGGTTCAAACCCAACATTGACCCCAAATGTAAAACCCATGTCTGTCATCCCGTGCAATATGTGGCTTCGCTATATAAACATCCCTGTTGATGATGGGCAAGGTGGCTTAGTTGTAACAGGTGGAGTAGAGTTGCCTCCCTTGCAGCCATGATCTGTTGAACACTGGTTTGAATCTTGTCCAACTACTGCTTCACTATGGGTTTTCTCTGACATACAGTTGAAACGTCAAGATATCCCACTAATAGAACAGTCACTGGAGATTAACAAAGGAGAAATTTCGTTGAACAAATTCGTATATTCCTTCACCACAACCACAAGCCCCCATGCTCTCTCTCTCATCACCACCCCAGAATATTAAACAGTGGGTTCCTGAGCTCTGCTTGAAGAAAGACATCAGACCAGGTTGTTGGGCTCGGTAACTTTGTCGATTATATTATATCATACCCTGGTAGAGAAGGATATTGCTGATGACATCATTCGCTGGTTTGTCTGTTCCAGACTTGATTATTTTCTTATTATTATTATTGGATATTTATATAGCGCACATATCCATGCACTAGTGAATGCTCAAGGTGCTGGTATTTTTTTCCCTCGATCATTGGATGTCAGTCTCAACGGCACATCTTATGGGGAGCATACAACTCTTGCTGCCACAAGGCACACCGAGTTATTGCGGCTTTCCCATCTTTACGAGGTACCCATTCACAGCTGGGATTCGTGGGTTCTTTTAAGTGCACAGGGTTGTGTACTGTACACTAAGGGTTGTGACAACACTGAAAGAGTCGGCACACAAAGTTGACTCCTAGGTTTTTACACACGGTCACAGGTGGGCACGATCCCGGCACCTCATGCTCGCTGGATCACTAGCCTGGCGCTTTAGCCAGCTCGCCCACCGCACCCCCATGTGGTATTTACGGCAGTGTTGTTATTTTGAAACAACAGAGGGCAGTGAGGTAGCCTAGTGGTTTAAGCGTTGGCTTGTCACGCTGAAGACCTGGGTTCAATTCCCCACATGGGTACAATGTGTAAAGCCCATTTCTGGTGTACCTCACGGTGATATTGTCGGAATATCGTTAAAAGCGGAGTGAAACTAAAGTCACTCACTTAATTGAAACAACAGGCAAATGCATGCCATGATATTACTAGGTCATGTTTAATCCAAGGTGCCCACTCACTCACTCACTTGTATTTTGGCTATGGCTGTGAGTGACTCAGACTGCTTGTAAACTGAAGCTGATTGTAGATGACACGGAAGTTCGCAGGCTACTATTTTGCTGACTTACTCATAAGTGAAATGTCAGCTTTCCAATGACAGCATAATAGCTTCAGTCTAAATTACAGTCAATCAAGCCATGTTTGTTCCTGAAGTAATGACATTAGTAATTACACTTCCTTCATAAGTGAGTCTGGAAAACTTTCACAGAGATTTAGTCATGGTGATCAGATGAGGAAAGCATGAGTCAGTCGTCATGGCTGAATATTTGTGCATTAGGTTTATGTTTTGTTTACTTTGATGCTTGAACCTAAAACATTTCATGAAAACAGCTAAAGTTAAAGACCGTGTGGAGATTTAGAGAAAGTTAGATGGCAAGTACTGGAAGTTTAAAGAACCTGTGGTGATTGTAGAGAAGGTCAGATGGCAAATATAAAGAACCTGTGGTGATTGTAGAGGAGGTCAGATGGCAAGTACTGGAAGTATAAAGAACCTGTGGAGATTGTAGAGAAGGTCAGATGGCAAGTACTGGAAGTATAAAGAACCCGTGGAGATTGTAGAGAAGGTCAGATGGCAAGTACTGGAAGTATAAAGAACCTGTGGAGATTGTAGAGAAGGTCAGATGGCAAGTACTGGAAGTATAAAGAACCTGTGGAAATTGTAGAGTAGGTTAGATGGCAAGTACTGGAAGTATAAAGAACCCGTGGAGATTGTAGAGAAGGTCAAATGGCAAGTACTGGAAGTACAAAGAACCTGTGGAGATTGTAGAGAAGGTCAGATGGCAAGTACTGGAAGTATAAAGAACCTGTGGAGATTGTAGAGTAGGTTAGATGGCAAGTACTGGAAGTATAAAGAACCCGTGGAGATTGTAGAGAAGGTCAGATGACAAGTACTGGAAGTATAAAGAACCTGTGGAAATTGTAGAGTAGGTTAGATGGCAAGTACTGGAAGTATAAAGAACCTGTGGAGATTGTAGAGAAGGTCAGATGGCAAGTACTGGAAGTATAAAGAACCCGTGGAGATTGTAGAGAAGGTCAGATGGCAAGTACTGGAAGTATAAAGAACCCGTGGAAATTGTAGAGTAGGTTAGATGGCAAGTACTGGAAGTATAAAGAACCTGTGGAAATTGTAGAGTAGGTTAGATGGCAAGTACTGGAAGTATAAAGAACCCGTGGAGATTGTAGAGAAGGTCAGATGACAAGTACTGGAAGTATAAAGAACCTGTGGAAATTGTAGAGTAGGTTAGATGGCAAGTACTGGAAGTATAAAGAACCCGTGGAGATTGTAGAGAAGGTCAAATGGCAAGTACTGGAAGTATAAAGAACCCGTGGAGATTGTAGAGAAGGTCAGATGGCAAGTACTGGAAGTATAAAGAACCTGTGGAGATTGTAGAGAAGGTCAGATGGCAAGTACTGGAAGTATAAAGAACCTGTGGAAATTGTAGAGTAGGTTAGATGGCAAGTACTGGAAGTATAAAGAACCCTTTGAGATTGTAGAGAAGGTCAAATGGCAAGTACTGGAAGTACAAAGAACCTGTGGAGATTGTAGAGAAGGTCAGATGGCAAGTACTGGAAGTATAAAGAACCTGTGGAGATTGTAGACTAGGTTAGATGGCAAGTACTGGAAGTGTAAAGAACCCGTGGAGATTGTAGAGAAGGTCAGATGGCAAGTACTGGAAGTACAAAGAACCTGTGGTGATTGTAGAGAAGGTCAGATGGCAAGTACTGGAAGTATAAAGAACCTGTGGAGATTGTAGAGTAGGTTAGATGGCAAGTACTGGAAGTATAAAGAACCCGTGGAGATTGTAGAGAAGGTCAGATGACAAGTACTGGAAGTATAAAGAACCTGTGCAGATTGTAGGGAAGGTCAGATGGCAAGTACTGGAAGTATAAAGAACCTGTGGAGATTGTAGGGAAGGTCAGATGGCAAGTACTGGAAGTATAAAGAACCTATGGAGATTGTAGAGAAGGTCAAATGGCAAGTACTGGAAGTATAAAGAACCTGTGGTTATTGTAGAGTAGGTCAGATGGCAAGTACTGGAAGTATAAAGAACCCGTGGAGATTGTAGAGAAGGTCAGATGACAAGTACTGGAAGTATAAAGAACCTGTGCAGATTGTAGGGAAGGTCAGATGGCAAGTACTGGAAGTATAAAGAACCTGTGGTGATTGTAGAGAAGGTCAGATGGCAAGTACTGGAAGTATAAAGAACCTGTGGAGATTGTAGAGTAGGTTAGATGGCAAGTACTGGAAGTATAAAGAACCCGTGGAGATTGTAGAGAAGGTCAGATGACAAGTACTGGAAGTATAAAGAACCTGTGCAGATTGTAGGGAAGGTCAGATGGCAAGTACTGGAAGTATAAAGAACCTGTGGTGATTGTAGAGAAGGTCAGATGGCAAGTACTGGAAGTATATAGAACCTGTGCAGATTGTAGAGTAGGTTAGTTCTCAAAGAACAAGTGGTGATTGAGGAATAGGATAGGTCATAGGTACTTCAAGGTAATGAGCCACTGGTGGTTGTAGAATGCAAGTACACTAAGTTAAATGACTTTGGAGATTTTAGAATATTTTAGGCCACAAATACCTAAGATTAAAGTGCCTGTGGTGATTAGGGACTAGGTTTGGCTGTAAGCGGTTTAAGTTAAGAACATGTGGTGAATGTAGTGTAAGTTAAAGGGGAGTTGTTGTCACACAGGAATATTCATGAATTGAGCAGTGTTCACACAATCAACCACTTGTTTACCACACAATATCACCATGCCTGTGAACCATGAAGTCTGGACGACATGAACCAGTGATGATTGCAGTCACTGCAATGCTCCCTTGCCCATCGTCCCATCCTGGGTTCAAACCCCAGAATTTGGCGGGATGGCTTAGCATTTTAAGCATTCACTTGTCACACCGAAGACCCAAACTGGATTCCCCACGTCAGTACAATGTTTGAAGTTCATTTTTGTTGTCCCCTTTTCTGATATTGCTCGAATGTTGCTAAAAATGGCGTAAACACCAACTCACTCACTCATTCAATCCTCCCCACACTTGCCCTCATTACATCCAATAGTTTGTCAGGACATACCTACGTTTCTTCCCTATGTTAAACATCTAAGGCCCGTCTCACATCAAGAAGAGGCGGTGGGGTAGCCTAGTGGTTAAAGCGTTCGCTCATCATGCCAAAAACCTGGGTTCGATTCCCCACATGGGCACAATGTGTGAAGCCCATTCCTGGCATCCCCTGCCGTGATATTGCTGGAATGTTGCTAAAAGAGGCGTAAAACCAAACTCGCTCACTCACATGAAGATGACGCCACATTAAGCTGACACCACAAGATATCACTAAAATAGTGTCCATAGCGACCACTCACAAGTATAACTGGACTGTACTTTTCACCTGAGGAATCGTATCATGAACCCTGTGTAGTGGTTTTGGTGCTCCAGGCTTGAACCTGAAATATGTGACACAGCTGGTGATAACCTCACCTCTTCCTTTAAAAGCTGTTAACATAACCTGTTTTCATTTCAGGGCTACTACAAAGACACAGTGGAGTTCTTCTTTGACAGTCGGAATGAATGTAAAGGGTTTTGGAAGAAATGCATCGAACATCATGGCTTCTTCCGATGTCAATCTGTTCGGAAAGTGCCAAGAAACAAAACTAGAGTGGTCAGTCGAGGCTCATCATTCAGGTACGTCTATCTGCCAGGCGTGTAGCAAGCCATTTTCCTTTATGTAAGCCCAACAGGTTGCAAAGCTTTATATTTAGATATGGCTCGTCTAACCTTTTTAGGGGGCGGTGGGGTAGCCTAATGGTTAAAGCGTTGGCTCGTCTCGCCGAAGACCGGGTTCGAATCCCCACATGGGCACAATGTGTGAAGCCCATTTCTGGTGTCCCCCGCCGTGATGTTGCTGGAATATTGCTAAAAGCGGCGTAAAACCAAACTCAGTCAGTCAGTGTAACCTTTTTAGCAACAATCATGTGTAAGCCCAGGCTTTTTTTTTTATAATGGCAGCTATGCCCCTGTCTGCTACTTCTCTGTATTTCTCCCATCATGCAGTACACTTGACAGATTCTGCATGTCTAATCATGCAGTAGACAAGAGCATTTTCTTATATGGCAAGTTAACGATGTGCAATAGTATGCAGTGTACTCAAGACATCTGTGGGTATGCCATTGACACTTGCAGTGATTGCTAGACATTACCGGGATTCTTGAGGTATACAGAACACGTGACATCCATTCTTGTATGTGCCTGTTTCCATGGAGATGAGTATGTAAAGTACATGTGGTGATTCTATGACATGTTTCTGACATGCAGGTACAGTGGACGAACTCAGAAACAGCTGATGGAGTTTGTACGTGGCAACATCGATAAACGGCAGCAGTTTGAAAGGTGAGTTCAGTGTTGTATGCCTGTGTTGACAAACAGCTGCCCCATAAAACACCTTGTCAATAACAGCAGCCCAATAAACCAAATTGCCACAAATGGCTGTCCAGTAAAACACTTTGCAACAAGTGCCTGCCCAATAAAACAAATTGCCACAAATGGCTACCCAGTAAAACAAATTGCCACAAATGGCTACCCAATAAAACACTTGCCACAAATGGCTGCCCAATAAAACACTTACCACAAATGGCTACCCAATGAAACACCTTGCCAATAAGACCTGCCAGGGGGAAACACCTTGCAACAAATGGCGGCCCAAGTTTTAAAGAATTCCACAAATGGCTACCCAATGAAACACCTTGCCAATAAGACCTGCCAGGGGGAAACACCTTGCAACAAATGGCGGCCCAAGTTTTAAAGAATTCCACAAATGGCTACCCAATGAAACACCTTGCCAATAAGACCTGCCAGGGGGAAACACCTTGCAACAAATGGCGGCCCAAGTTTTAAAGAATTCCAACAATGGCTACCCAATGAAACACCTTGCCAATAAGACCTGCCAGGGGGAAACACCTTGCAACAAATGGCGGCCCAAGTTTTAAAGAATTCCACAAATGGCTGCTTCTGTGAAATGCCTGTACGACTAATGGCCATGGTTTGTGTGATTGTCAAAAATATATTCATTTTCTAAGTAAAAAACTAATATCAGCCAATGTTGCCTAACTGTTCAATGAGGATATTAACCTTTTTCCTAATTTGCAACTTTGTTTCCATTTTAATCCATGCTTTTGAAATAACATTGGTTTTGTGGTGGGGACATAAAACCAATCCTTGTTGACATTTTGTACTTATTTACACTGCCAAGCAAAAAATACGCTACTCAACCTATAGGTATAATCAGATATGTCATTGTATTTGAATATACACTTGACAATCAGTTGTGTGTCATAGAAAGGTGAAAATATCCCTGTCCCAAGTCGAGTAGAGTAGTTATTGCTGATCTTCGAAAGCTGACAATAAGTCTTTCAAATTCTATTTTTGACTTCAAAGTATTTTAGAGATGTGTTTCCCAGTTTGGCGAGCACATTTTGACTAATTAAGATTTTGGAAAGCTTTCAACCGATGGCCCCATTTCAGAAAGTGATATTAGTCCTAAGACCATTGTATTCCCAATACGTTAAAAAAGACATGTCAGACATAGCGCTAAGATAGTCATATCTCCTATTCTTTTACCCAGACATGTCAGTCGTAGGGCTAAGATAGTCATATCTCTCATTGTTTAACCCAGACATATCAGTCGTAGTGATACGATAGTCATATCTACCATTTGTTAACCAAGACATGTCAGTCATAGCGCTATGATAGTCATATCTTCCATTCTTTAACCCAGACATGTCAGTCATAGCGCTAAGATAGTAATATTTCCCATTCTTTAACCTAGACAAGTCAGTCGTAGCGCTAAGATAGTTATATCTCCCATTCTTTAACCCAGACATGTCAGTCGTTGTGCGAAGATCATGTCTTCTTCGTGTAAGGTTGATTCAGTTATTGTGAAGTGAAGACCAGTGTAACCTGATGAGGCAGAGTTTTGCTGGACATCTATCAAACCTGCTGCATGTATCTGGCTAGTTATGCAAAGTGATCTGGTCAAGCTCTGGTCAATAACTGAGTCCACTTTATAACTTTCTAATCCTTGTTGTTGTACCTTGCTCTTTAGATCTGTGAAAAGAAATAATTTCTTTTGAAGCAATAATACATTAGACATCTGCTTTGTTTTATTTTTGCCATCCCATGGATTACAGGAAGTAAGTAGAGTTATCTCCCTTGGCTGCTTTTTGCATGACACATGAAGTACCATCCTCATGACACAGGGGCATGGTGGTATTTTGTCCACATAAAATATCACAAGTCTAAACTGTTACACTTAGCTGTCTGGTCCCAAATGTCTAGAATTACTTGTTTTATTGCTTAAACCACAAGCCAGAAATGATCTCGCCTTTCAAGCACTAGTTGACATGTGATCTCCCCTGTCAGAGCCAGGATACAGTATGAACCATACCCTGCTTAGGCTATTCTCTGTGGTTTTCACAGTATCACGTCGATTTACCCATTTGTAGCAACAAATCTTCTATGTTGAAACCCAGGCTAAAAATGCCCCTGTGTGGAGAGGATGATCTGTGAAGGACATTGTGCTATAAACTTAAGTTTGGCTGGACTTGTAGCATGATAAGAGGGATCAGTGGGAGAACTACTTATACATGAGAATTGTAACAAGCCTACAATTTCTCAGTAAATTCAACCAAATGCTCCTAATTAGTAAGTAGCTTCATGTACTGCATTGTATACTAATCAGTGTATATCAATGACAGATTATCAGTAGCCATGAAAAAAAGATGTTATTTTACTTCTTTTATGCAGATATTTTGACCCTGTGACATCCGTAGCACTTTGTACCCACAGTGTCATCATGCTTAAACTGTCTTATTGGTTGCCTGTTAGTGAAAATGTCATGCCTGCATCTCTGTTGGATATATGTTGATAAGATACAGTGTTGTCAATTGTCATATGCACAATATGGTTGTGTTGTCTATTGCCATATGGGCAATATGGTTGTGTTGTCAATTGTCATATGCACAATATGACCATGTGTTGTTGATTGTCATGCGCACAATATGACCATGTGTTGTCGATTATCATAGTGAGTGAGTGAGTTTAGTTTTACGCCGCACTCAGCAATATTCCAGCTATATGGCGGCGGTCTGTAAATAATCGAGTCTGGACCAGACAATCCAATGATCAACAGCATGAGCATCGATCTGCGCAATTGGGAACCGATGACATGTGTCAACCAAGTCAGCGAAACTGACCACCCGATCCCGTTAGTCGCCACTTACGTCGATTATCATAGGCACAATATGGTCATATTGTTGATTGTCATGTTAGCAATACGGTCTTGTTGTCGATTGTCATATGCACAATATGGTTATATGTTGTTGATTGTCATCCTCACAATATGGTCATGTTTTGTCTGTTGTCATATGCACAGTATGATGATGTGTTGTCAATTGTCATATGCACAGTTTGGTCATGTAAGTGGGAATATTCTATTAGATTCTGGTTCAGAAAATGGTATCACACCCCTGATGTTCAATATGCCAGTTATCACACCCCTGATGTTCAATATGCCAGTTATCACACCCCTGATGTTCAATATGCCAGTGATCACACCCCTGATGTTCAGTATGCCAGTTATCACACCCCCGATGTTCAGTATGCCAGTTATCACACCCCTGATGTTCAGTATGCCAGTTATCACACCCCTGATGTTCAGTATGCCAGTTATCACATCCCTGATGTTCAGTATGCCAGTTATCACCCCTGATGTTCAATATGCCAGTGATCACACCCCTGATGCTCAATATGCCAGTTATCACACCCCTGATGTTCAATATGCCAGTTATCACACCCCTGATGCTCAATATGCCAGTTATCACACCCCCGATGTTCAGTATGCCAGTTATCACACCCCTGATGTTCAGTATGCCAGTTATCACACCCCTGATGTTCAGTATGCCAGTTATCACATCCCTGATGTTCAGTATGCCAGTGATCACACCCCTGATGTTCAATATGCCAGTTATCACACCCCTGATGTTCAATATGCCAGTTATCACACCCCTGATGCTCAATATGCCAGTTATCACACCCCTGATGTTCAATATGCCAGTTATCACACCCCTGATGTTCAATATGCCAGTTATCACACCCCTGATGTTCAATATGCCAGTTATCACACTCCTGATGTTCAATATACCAGTTATCACACCCCTGATGCTCAATATGCCAGTTATCACACCCCTGATGTTCAATATGCCAGTTATCACACCCCTGATGTTCAATATGCCAGTTATCACACCCCTGATGTTCAGTATGCCAGTGATCACACCCCTGATGTTCAATATGCCAGTTATCACACCCCTGATGTTCAGTATGCCAGTTATCACACCCCTGATGTTCAATATGCCAGTTATCACATCCCTGATGTTCAGTATGCCAGTTATCCCACCCCTGATGTTCAATATGCCAGTTATCACACCCCTGATGTTCAGTATGCCAGCTATCACACCCTTGGCAATAAAACACCATTATTTAACCGTTCAGTAAATATGCCTGCTGCTTAGTATGCCAATTATTGCATCCCTGCTTAACCATTGCCACCCATGCAACTATGATGGTTATAGCCTCAGTAGACAGGCAATATTGACGTCTCCAGTATAGCCGGGCTGGTACAGGCTTGACATTGTGTAACATCATGCATGTTTGTTTGGGATCTGACATCTGGCTTGTCAGTAGTGCTGCAAGAAGCTGTAGGATCTGTATTAATCAATACAGTAACTCCCCATACAGGAGACTCTCACTTGAATTTGAGCTAAATTGATTGTTCTATTCTTAACTGTATGATAACTATAGAATGATTACTAGCCTGGTCCCACTGTCATGTTGGTGACAGTGACATCTCTGTTTTTATTGCTAGCTTCATGTTATATCTTTTAATATATCGTGGACAAACTTTCTGTATGTAACCTGTTGAAAACTAGGTAAGAACTGGGTAGACAAGGGTTTCCTAATAATCTATGGTGCCGATACAGTACAACCAGAAATTATTGAGAATTTAAAGATTGTAAAAAAAAAAAAATCACTCATTACTCACGTATTAAATGTGAATATTAGCAGAACATAACTCCAGATTCAAAGACAGGTGAACAGTTAGTATTTTGTCATGTCACCATGGGCAACAATGCAGGCTTCAATGCGGCGGGGCATACTACTGATCAAAGAAGTTAGAAAGTCGTGGTCCATGCTGTCCCAATATCGGACCACCTCTTCTTTCATTTCAGCAATATTTGTCAGATTTTTCTTATTGACACTTTCCTTCATAAGTCCCCAAACATTTTCTATTGGATTTAGGTCAGGGCCATAGCTTGGCCAATCTAATAATGTCATATTTTGGGTCCGAAACCAGGCCTGTGAATGCTTTGAACGATGTTTTGGGTCGTTGTCCTGCTGGGAAATCCAAAAATTTCCATAGAACACGTGAGCAGATGGAAGTAAATGTCCCTCGAGAATATCTGTGTACCGCTCACTGTTCATATTCCCTTCAAATACACAGAGGGGTGTTGCCCCTAACACAGATGTGCCACCCCACACGTTAAAGTTCGGACTGTACTTTGGGCGCTGATACAAAGGTGTTTCAGTTTGTTTGGTCCAGAATTTCAGTGTATTAGGAAACAGCCACACAGAACTTTCATCTGAGAAAATCGCATTGTCCCAGTTAAAATTTCTATGCTGTAAGCACCAGTTCAACCTTTCACTTCTTTTGTTCAGGTTTCATGATCGGTGATGGAATTCCTCGACTTTTCTGCCAACCCATTGCATGCAGCTCAGTTCTAATTGTCTCCTTGCAGACAGCCACAGTTCCTCTATCAATCATATCCAGCCTTAAGTTTTCTAAACTCCTTCGTTTGTTTTTAGAAACAAGAATATAAAGCCGCCTCCTGTCACCGACAGTCAATTTTCTTGGCCTACCTGTGCCCCCCCCTGGTGCTCAATGCCATATCCATTTGTAATATTTTTCAAAACACGATAAACAGTGGACAAAGGGATGCCTGTTCTACTTGAAATCACTTTAGCTGATCTGATGTCCTTGTTATAATACTCTAAGATCAACTCCTCTTCTCTAAATCATCCATACTGAGGATCACTGAAAATGTTGTCTGCTAGCAAGTAACTGACTGACTGACTGAGTTTGGTTTTACGCCGCTTTCAGCAGTATTCCAGCAACATCACGGCGGGGGACACCTGAAGTGGGCTTCACACATTGTACCCATGTGGGGATTCGAACCCGGGTCTTCGGCGTGACAAGCCAACGCTTTAATCACTAGGCTACCCCACCGCCCTGCTAGCAAGTAAACAAAGGGGGATAACTCTTCACAAACTAATGAAAAAAGGATTAACGGAGTTGTCTCTCTTGAATGAAACCAAGCACTTGATAGCTGGTCAAGGTTGTTTATACTAGAAATCCAATTAAACATATTCCTAAAATTCTCAATAATTTCTGGTCCTACTATATATTTTGTGTAGTTGACTCCCTTATGCTTACCAGGAACCTATGAATGAGTGAGTGAGTTTAGTTTTACGCCGCACTCAGCAATATTCCAGCTCTATGGCGACGGTCTATAAATAATCGAGTCTGGACCACACAATCCAGTGATCAACAGCATGAGCATCGATCTACGCAATTGGGATGCAATGACATGTGTCAACCCAGTCAGCGAGCCTGACCACCCGATCCCGTTAGTCGACCTATGATTGAGAGTTCCAGATTCAGCATGATAATTTGCTGGTTTGTCAGCACTATCCCCTTTCCTCCAGAGTTGTGAGACCTCCGTCACTTCGGGCTTTCTTCCAACGTGAAGGTGACATGTTGTCATCAATACATATTTGCATACAAACAACTCAAAATTAATCGAATATTTTACACAAGTACCCAGCTATTCTTGAGGTCTGGTTCACACACTGCAAAAAATTAAGAAAGGTTATTGAAGGAATGGTACTCAGTATTTAATTATCGTAAAGGAACATCATACAATACGTTTGGCCTTATATGTATTCTAATTAATCAAAATATTAAACATTTGTTAAAAATTACAAACGTAAGAGGCATGGGATTAGTTGAGGTTTTTGTCGTATTATATAGGAAACTTAATCCAGTTGTCTATGTTGCAGGTCGGCAAGTGGTCGTATCTCAAGCCGGAGCACCAGCGTGACACCAAAGATTACCCTGAAGGCTAACACCCACAATTCCTCGGACCTCCACAACAGCACAGCTTCCAGCGGCTCCCACACTCTCGACATCACGCAGGACAACCACGTCAGCCCTATGAGTCGTGTTGAGACAGCTGAGGTCCACAGCGACAGTTCCATGTCTGGGAGCCGCTCTCTGGGCTCCCCGAAACTGGAACACATCCCCGTCGCCGGGAGGCGACGGCAGCAGCAGCAGCAGCAGCAGCAATGATGAGGAAGGAGGACAGTGTTGATTCCAGGACAGAAGCCGATGATAGAGGTGCAGATTCAGATCTCGATAAGTTGAAACAAAATATAATTATTAATAATATTGCCATGCAAAATGAACCATCAGCCAATCAAAATGCAAATGACAATGATGATAACACATCCCAGGATTCGTATCACCTCGAGGGGGAGGAGAGGGTGGGGAAGGGGAGAGAACCAGGGGGTAAATCTGTAACGTTTTCTCCCGAAGATAGTCCCAAGCTGAAGAGTGTTAATGACACAAATGTAATAAACAATGTATCTGCTTCAGAGAAATCTACTAACCATATAGACAGACTTCCTGAGAGTCAGGCAGCTGATAGGCCAGATTTAGCTAAACTAAATTCTACTAACCTGTATCCTAAGGTGAATGGGGAGATCCCACCAAGTGCATGTATAACTGCTAGTGTGTATGGTAGAGAGGTAGAATCCCCTCAGGGGGAAGGGAGGAAGGATGTTATTGGTGAAAATATTGCAAGTGCATCACTGAAACCGGATGTGGACAGTTTCACTGACAAGAGGAAGTATTCCGCTGATACCGATCTCATTGTGGATATTCCATATACCCTGCATCGACGGTTAAAGGGGGAGACAGAGAACAAGGAGGAGACCGCATTCTACAAAGGTCCGGAAGGTGCCTCAACAAAAGAGTCACGACCAAGGGACAAAAGTCCAGGTCGGCCGCCGACCAATTCCGAACCACTCAAGGCTGTGGATATTCCACTGTCACCTCCTCTCAAACACCCTAATACTATAGGAAAATCCTCATCATTGGAAAGGTCTCCTTCAACTTTACGGAGGTTTGAGCTCGTCAGTTGTCACAAGCTTCCCTCTAGGACCAGCTATTCCTCAGTAGATGACACCACAAGTCCTTCATTCGAAAAGGAGATCCTCAAACAGCTTGAAGACAAAATGCAAGATGATGAAACCGTGCCAACAAGTGATGACCAATGCAAAACTGACATTGTCGGTGAAGGGGCACCTGTTCCCTTGCCAAAGGCAGTGCCCGAAACCAGTGTAGCTGAAACTGTTAATGATAAAACCAGTGTAGCTGAGACTGTGAATAGCAAAAGCAGTGTATCTGAAACCGTAAAGGTCGAAAGCAGTGTACCTGAGACTGTAAATGGCAAAACCAGTGCATCAGAAGCTGTAAATGGAAAACACAGTGTTGAAAAGTGTGAGATGACAAGTATTGTGTCATCTAAACCTGCCAGTGATAAGTCAGTTTCAGAATCAGGTGCTTATGTGTCTGTTGAGGTGCGGAAACCGCAGACGCAGGGAGGACCGCCAGTTAAACCTGCTAAACCGCCCAGAGAGAAGCGCCCAGAAGCAGCAATTGACCCCAAGAGAGCATCATCGTCGTCCACATCATCCGAGTCTTCAGCTATATCTTCCACAAAAGAACCTGCTCACATAGCAATAGACTCCAAGATCTCAGTCCCAGCCAGCCAAAACCTTGACAGTAAGTCACCATTGCCAGCTCCTCCAAGTCCTGTTCTCAAAGATGCATCACCCACATCTTCTGAAGACTCTTCTAATATCAACACATTCGGGGTGCCAAGGACTGCTGCTTTTGGAACAGAGGGTCCCTGCATGACTGAAAATCCTCAACAGTTTGTGTTAGATGGAGAAAAGGATCCCTGGTTTGCTGTGAAACCTGAATCAAAATCCACGCATATGATCGCTCCAAATCCACAGGAAGAACAGAAGGAGAACTTGAAGGTGGACAGTTCTGGGAATCCATTAATCTTTGACCTTCCATCTCCTGCAGCAGCTTTTATATATAGCGATGAGGACAGTCCGCCTTCAAAGAAGGAAGACAATTCGGCAGCCTTGACCTTCTCAACGTTTAGACCGGAACCTGGAAGCGATGGTCAGTTAGATCCGTCATACATTCGTGAGAAGAAGGAACCGATTGACTCAATGAAGCGGAGGTCATTGAACCGGGTTGAGGAGGAGGAGGAAGAGATGACGAGTGAAGCGATCACTGCCGTAACACCAGAACCGAAACCAGAACCAAAGCGTGTCAGTTTCCATGAAGATGTTGACATTGGTCAGAGTTTCCATAGTGATGTGAGCATGATGGTCATGAGGAGCCCCGTGGATGATCGTGATGACTCAAGTTTTGGAGGAAGTTGTGGGGAGGGAATGGACTCTGGGGATATTTTGGATACACTAGAGAACATGTGTGGCCACGGCTCGGAGAGCGACATGACATACAGCGGAAGCTCTGGAAGTGAGAGTGACACCGAGTCCGATATGGATGACACCATGGCAAAGGAAATCTATGCGCAGTATGCAGCTACCAAGTGCCTCGCGGAGTCAGGCAAGGATATGACAATAGACTCGGGGGTCGGTGAACTAAGTGAAGGGACGACACATACCAGAGAAGTCTCACCTCTAGAATCACTTGAGCGTCTCGATGCCATGGATGGTAGTTTTATTGGGGATAAGGATGATGACTTTAAGTTTCCTCCACCTCCCCCGGAGCTTCAGGAACCGAGTGATAATTCATCATCGTCTGCCGAAATTGAAATGCATCCGCATCATCAAAAACGGTTTAGCATCGACCCGCTAGCCAATCTTGAACATCCTGACATCGCAGACATTGAATACACGACAAGCGAGAGTGAGAGTGATTTTGAGGACAAACCTCCTGTGAAGAAGCCACCCCCTCCCCCTGTCGCTGCCAAGCCGAAGCCCGAGTTCATTAAGGAAAAGTTCGGAAACGAGAGTCAGACCTGAAGTCAGCTCTAATTAATTGTACATTATCTTTTTTATGACAAGTTGATGATTTATTTCTGTGAAAAAATCAATATTTTGAAAACTTCATCCCACTTTTTGAATACAACTGTCATGCTTTCTTTATTAGAAAGGGAGATAACTCATGTAACATCATTGAAGGATTATATTTATGAAATTTCCTCATGTTTGAAATAATATCACAATGTAAAAAAGTAATTCTGCTGTCCAGTGTGTACCTTGTCAACTTCTATCTTTTGATACTAACCGTCTGATTTATTCTTGTAACCAACATTTCCCATTTAGCATTGGATTGTATCAGTATTCTGTTCTGTGTTCTAATCAAGGGAATTCGTCTTACATTTTTCAATCCTATTACTATTTTAATAGACATGATGAAGAAGTTGGGCTGGTTACATCTTAGTTTGTTATGGAAAATAATAAGGTTGAAAGGGTGAAAAGCTAATGTGTAAAGTTAAAGCAATGAATTTTTATAGTTATGACAATATATTTTATGTTTTCGATTTATGCAAACAAATGCAGAAAAAGATTTTTTGATATATTGAATATATATGATCAATAGTTCTTGTTGATGTTTATTGACATCAAGATGGATTCACCATATTTGACCTGTTTATCATCCCTATCCAGTGATTCCTGGAAATAAACACAAACCAGTTCTGATGGAATTACAAAAGTAATACGTTAAGTAGGTCTGTTTGAACCATGAGAACGTCATGCTGCAAGAATGTCTACGCACTCCGGAAGTGCTTCCATATCACTCTCCGTTGAGACCTTAAGTTGTGCCAAAATAACAAAACATTCCATATTGAACTGTTCGCAACTCTACCATCAGTCATTAAATTCACCGCATATCAGAAATGAAAGAAATATCCGAGTATAGTGAAAAAATCTTCCAGTTTCACCAATTGATCTGAGCACTATCACATGGTTCGGTGTTAAGATGGTCGTAAATCTTATGCTTTAACATTGACTTACAACAAAATAGTGCTTAGGTGATCTTGACCCTGTTACTTTAACATTGACTTTCAAGAGCATTTTGTCAGGGCTAGTGATGTCCTATGATTGTGATGTCATAGAAACTGATGACATCATAGTAGAAACTGATGACATCACAGTGGTCTGCAAAGCATGGAGATGCAGTTTCACTGAAGCAATATCTCATATGGAACCGACTTAGGGATGATAAACATGTTAACTGCAGTGCTCCATTATTATACAGGAAACAGCAGCTTAATGCTTGAAGTAACATTGGGTGACATGGAATTACAATACTTACATGGGCATATAGCTTTATATTTTGCATATGTCAGTATTATCCTTTAAGTATTGCAGAGATGTTGCTACATAATACTTACAGCCAAATACCTACTTGTATACTTACAGCCAAATACCTACTTGTATACTTACAGCCAAATACCTATATACTTACTAACACCCTACGGTAAATAATGGGACAAAACTCAACACCTAGGCTTTATTCCTTTTACTTGGTTTTCAAGACAAACAAAAAGAAAAGAATATGGAAAGAAAAATGTAATTATGTTGACTTAAAGCAAATTCATATGTTTTATTATATAAAATAAGGTACAGCAAAATATTTTGATTTGATAAACAAGAAATGGTAAATTATTCTGTAAACATCTCTATTCTGACAAAAATCCACTCAGTAATTTCTTGTCATGTACAAACTTGTTTTGTATTCATTTTAGCAGTAAGTACTTATTGGGAACTTGGATTTTTTGTAAGTTCAACCTCTTACATTGACTTTTTCTCAAGTTTCTTGGTGAACAAATAATAATCGATAACAGGCCCTACGAGTATCAGTGCCACCCTGTTTATCCAGAATTTCTATTAGTATAACTGACTATACAAATACAGCTGTAGCCTCACACTTTTATTTAGTCTGGATAAGTGAGTCTAATTGAGTAATTATGTAAAATATAATATTCAGTTTTCATAAACATTGTCGAGAGGGCAGGGCTTTTCATCTGATGTCTGGCTAAAATGGATCTTGTTATGTTACTTCTTACAAAAGAACCACATACTTCGGAAGGACTTTTACAAAATAGTCACAAAGATTGTTTAGCAGCCAGTCAATAAATTAACATTGAACAGACTTTCTGAGGCTGTTGGATCAGTGCTTGACTGTCCATATGAGTTTGGGTTCAAATCCAATTGCCCAAGTTTCTGGGTTTGTCTGTACCATTCCCTGTTTATGGGTTTCACCAATGGTGAATATCTGAGACCTGAAACCCTTGGGGTTTCCACATTAAGATGACTGGAATACAGTTAAAATCAGTGTTAAACCCACCTACTCACACAATGCAGGAGTATTGGGGAGCATCAGGGGTGTGACTTTAGTCTACTTCCACTTCTTGTGTATTCATAAACTAGAACTGCTACTTTTCATAATCATTACTTGATTAGTCAAATAAAGTTCCATTTTCTTTTCTTTTTTCATAACTTATTTGTAATTCATGTCGCATTAAATTCAAATAATAAACTTTCATAATGACTGCCATTCATAAAGGATGTAACACACAAATTCTTGTAACAATATATGTATATTTTGAATAACTATGAGTGATATATTACAAACCACAATTTAATGGAGAAAATATGAAATTACCACATGCTTTCTTGTATTTGTTGGCATTAAGCTTTTGTTTTTGTTGTTTTTCTGTATATTTTTATCTGGCATTATTTCTAATGAAGCATGGCTGCTAGTGCTTCTTTCTCTTGTTTACTCTTAAGGTTTATTTCCATGGCAAAGTAGAGATTCATTATTTTGTTTTATGGTGTATTGTATACATAATTATTTTAGTGAGCTGTGATACGGTAAAAATTGCCATGACCTAAGATGCTTGCATGTCGCATACCTAGTTCATCACATGACCCCAAGTTAAAAATATTTTATTTAATTCATTCAAAGTTCTTATTTTGGATGATTTTAGAAAATTTGGGGATGGGGTATATTTTTATTTATTCATTATCAAAATTTTAGATGAAGAGTGATTACAAGATCCCAAATACATGCAGATTTGTATAAATATTATGTTCCTGGCAACTCGGAACATTTCAGTCATACTAGTTTTATGTATATTAGGTTGTTGATTTTGAAATTTGCTGAACAGACTCCTGTACGCAGTTATTTTGTGACAATTCCTTTGTAGTCATAATTTTATTGTTTAGTAACTTTTGAATCCTGTGGGTAGAATTGGTCGAATTTTGTCTTTCACTTAACATGGATGGCGTCCATATTTATAAGTAGTTGTATTCCCAATAGTGTTCAGTTGAGTCCATTCTGGAACAGCAAGTAGAACTTTCAGTGTTCAGACTGGTTAGTGAGAATTGTTGTTGTTGTATTATGTTATGAGAGTTGCCTGCCCTTGTTTTAGGATAAGGCGCCATTTGATTGGATGTTCATGGGACAGGAAACATTTGAATGGTCAAGAGAAGATTTTACTTCCCACTAGCGTGAGGATTTGTTTGATTTGCTTGAATTATATTTGTTTGCAGACAATATAGCTGTCCTTTCTCTCCTCAATCTTTCTCAGCTACAGACATTGTTGATTAACAGTGACTAGGAAAATAGTATTTCTTATATAACTAGTTATTATGAGTGTAGTTTTTCTGAAGAGCCTTTTGAGGTATTTCAATAAAATATGCTTAGATTTTGCAATGGAAAAAGAGGATGAGGTTGGTTATCGGCCTTAATATATTTATATGATTAGATTGTATGTGTGATATGATTAGACAGCTTCAAGGTTACTGAGGTTTCTATATGATTAGTTCTGTCTAGATTAGGTGCTTGGTTCTCTTGACAGCCTTCTCCTGCTTGTGCAATGTATACAGCCTATACCAGCATTGTGTTGCTTATCAAGCTTAATGAGAATATCAACTAAGTGATCGCATGAAACACCTCCGTTCTTCTGTAGTGCAAAGTTTGATTATGATGCGGATTAATTTATTCAGCTGTTATATTTTAATTATACATTACTTTCATAGGCAACAATAAATTCCAGTTTGAAAATCACTTAATATCCTGAAAAAACATTGCCCTTTGCGACTAGAATCGAAAAATTTTGCTATGCAGGAATTTAAAGTAATAATTGTATAAAGAGCAATAACATGTAATATTAAGTATGTAATTCATGATCATCATTAGTACCACACCAGGGAGGTTTCCCTGTGTCTTAAGGCAGGCATTGATAGTGGTTTAAGAGTTATGGCCCTTAGATGTCCCAGGAACCACTGATCTTTGGTTTAAGAAGCAGTTTTGCCCTGATAAGGATCTTGGTCTGTTTTCGCCATACTTGTGTATGTGGTTTTACCAAGCAGAGGATGTCAGTGACCTGATCTCCCATATTGATCTGCCATGCCGTGATATAACTAAAATACAGGCCATGATGGCGTTAAACCCAAGTTACTCACTCACTAAACGTTATTGGTCTAGCAAAAGCGTGGTATATTATCAATGTATCTTTACTGCCATACTAAGCATGTACGCATAGAAACTATATTCCTTTCCTCACTCACCACTGAGTCTTAATCCTCGCATGTCTGAAAGACAATTGTTTTTTCTTAAAGAACTTCGAGTAAATATGTCCAACATACTAAACAGATTACAATAAAGAAGGTAAAGTTTTGGAGTCATGATTGTGTTATAAAATATCTTTTGTTTTAAGCATTCATGACTTTTTTAAACAGAGTTTATTCATTTTTACGAATCTCTCCTTCCCATGTGCAAATATGTTTGTAGTCAATGTAAGATTATTTTTTTAGTATATCATTCCAGAAGTAGCCCTGAGGTAAATATTATTCAGACCAAACACGCTACTTATTGCCGACCACGTGAGCTGTGTATGCAGGGGAGATAATTACAAATGGTTGATTGTTAGTGTGGCTATTATTTGGAGTTATTTAAAGGCTACATTGTCATTGAGCTTTAGATAATGTATGAAACTA